CCCAGAAAACAAAAAATCATCCTGCACAAGTGACTAATTTTGTTTAACGCGGGGTTGCCTGTTAATTTTTTAATGAATAATCTCATGAACAGTGAAAAACAGGAGAATTTAACTTTCTTTCCATGAACAGTGGGATATTTTATCTTTGCATATAAGCTTCCATTGTTTTGTAGTATATGGATGAACAAAGAATGCTTTCTTCATTGCTCTGACGAGATCTCAGAAGTAATAATCTTCAGAGAATAGCACATCACACAAAGACACAGCTGATAAAGCACAGAGGATGCTGGGGAGCCCATTGCAGGAAGCAGCCATGCTGGATCATAATGACAACAAAGATGTGAAAACTGCCTTTCATTCCTTCAAAGAGGATAAAAGTTACCAACAATCTGATGATGTGGCAAAGCCCTTGGCTGTTAAATGATCCAAATTACATTATGGATTACTGATATTGTGAAATAAATGCATAGGACTCACACAAAAAGTTAAAGAAATCCAGAGGCAATTGTCAAAAGCTCAAGACTTGTATGGTACCAGTTTTAATAACTTTATCTGATTGCTCAGTCATTTAAAAGGGACATAAAGTGACTGAACAAAGACTCCAGAATAAATATTAATTTTTCACAACTCCTTAATTTTCTGAAGCTTATCAAAGTCAAAAGATTAGGTATCAGTATTTCAGGCTGAGTAGCAGCTGTGTAAATTCAAGATTTTAACACAGAGAGATAGATGTATGAGCTGGCTAAATTTCACTGTGGGTATTGGACGGCTGGGTACCAAAAATGAGTAGAGGGTGATTATAAATTCCAGAATATCTTTTTGGAAAAAAGATGACCTATGCAAGTTTTTCTGAGTTAGAAAGTAATAAGGCAATTTTAGCATTACCAGATATTTTCCAGCTTGAAGAGATTGCAAACTTGAGCCCTAATAAAATAATGTGGCATGGTGTTGCAGCAGTAACTTTTTTCCTGATGCTGGAGCTAATCTTTCTTTTGTGAAATTGATCTGATAGGGATTAAATAGGGATAACATTAAGATTTGTACAGCAGAACTCATTAGAAACATTTTTACAAATCTCCTTCAAATAGTATAAAAATATCTTGTAGCAACATCCTGAAAAAGATCAACCCAGCCTTTGCTCTTCTAGCAAGAAATTTCCCTATGCCTTGAAAGATACAATTGTGAACCAATGGCAACATGGAAAACTAAAGGTAATTCATCTTTCCTGGAGGTTTGTCTTAATGAACTGATACAGTGCATAGGTACAATACTACTTTTTTTACATTTTTGTGGGGTTGAGTTTCTTCATATGTGAAAAATGTAAAAAAATATTTTAATTGGAAGCAGTGTCCCCTTGACACAACTCTTACTATCTCTACAAATGTAGAGATAGTAAGTCTTACAACTCTACAAATGTAGATCAGATTAATATCAACATGCAAGTTATGTTGTCAGGTTTCAAAAGACAGGCTTATCTTCATCTCATAGTTAATACTACATTCTTCACACTCAGTGTAACTAAGAGCTGTGATTTATACCATGCAGACATCTGAGTCCTTGGACATCAATGTATTGGCTCAGCCAACCTCCACAAAAGCCTGAGGAATACAAAGTGGAAAAAGAAAAGACAACAAACTGGCAAAAAACACCACTTAAGTGTTAGCTGAAAAAGTTTCTCCAATGCCAATGAAGGCAATGCACATTTTTTTAGCCACGGACTTCAGAGACCCCCAACATAAAAAATAAAGTCTCTAAAAAATGCTTTTTCTCTCTCTCCAGCAAGCTGCACGCCACCCACCCCTGCCATAAATCTGCCATAGTAGTTGTACATTCATCGTCCCAACATTTCTTTTGTTTGGAGTTGGCAATTGACATGATACAACGAACCAGGTGGGTCATGCCAAAGTGAGAATGCTACACAAGGGATTCACAAGCCAAGACAACTCCTCATTCAATCCTGGTTCCAGTAGAATTTTTTCCAAGGGATTTATAAAGCTTCTGACAGGGTGAGGGTCACAGAAGCCAAATGTTGCCATCTTCTCTTTGCCTTATAGGCAACATCAAAGTCTAATCTCAGACTGCAAGAAAATCAACCTTTTCTGTGATCCTCCACAAGCTCTGCTTCACAGAAGAAAGTTGCTGGGGGACATCCCAGTTCCCATAATTTTTATGTGATATCACAAGACTTGTGTTTTGCCAAAGCCTTCCCAAAAAGCAGAAGAAAATCAGCAGCATGATTTGAGTTTGCAGCTCTTACTGAACTAATGACTTGGCTGGAGTACCAGATGCAGCTAAGAGGCAGATTGTAATGTTCTGTGTATGCTACTCGTGCTGTAGCTCTGTCATTATAGCTCTTGCTGTAGAAATGCTGGTCAACACACAGTGCTAGAAATGAGCTATTCTGAACACACTCCTCCTGGAGATCAAACTCTCCTTGTGCTTTTGGTCCCCTATGCCAGGCTCAGCCACTGCTCCTGCCTCAAGCAGAGGAGTGCCCAGAGCACTACACCCCCCTCAGCCTTGGATCCTGTCCTTACCATAGTTTTGAAACCTGGTTCTTTTAAACACATCAAAAACCTCCAACCTATATTCACCATCTCTTTTGAAACTTGGTTTCCTACCTTAATTGCAGTAGCCAGCAGATGTCCCACTTCAATCCCTGCTCACTGATAGTACATAAATAAAATATGTCAGGCCACTAATCTGCCAGGAAATATGGCTACATTCATTTGCTAATTTGGTTGAGGGGATGTTGTGGTCACTGTGACAAGAGCCCCAACCCCTGGTGTGCAGCTGGGCTGGAGCAACGTGTCACATGTGGCCATTGGCCTAGGCAGAGAGCTCCTGAGGATCCTGCCTGTCCCTGGCTCTGAGCAGATGTCACACTTCCCTCCAGCTGTTCTGACTGACCCAAAGCTGCCTGCCTGTCATTGTACCCAGCTGTCCCTTTCATGGGACCCCTCATTCCACCCCAACCTGCCTGGCATACCCTCTGTACACCTTCCTCAAGCTGGCCCTGTGCCCTCTCACCTCCTCGTTCAGCCTTCACACCTGCTGTGCCAGGGCTCCTGCTGACTCTGCTCCCCCTCTCTTGGCAGCCTCCCCATCACTGATCTTTCTGGAACATGTCCATGCTCTGTTTAAGTTTAATTTGCCTCTAACCCAGCCTAGTTGTGCTCCAAGGGCAGACCCAGCCCTACAGACTACAATCTATCTCCCCAAGCACAGCTCTACTTTAAAACACAGAGGGTTAAAAGTATTCCATGTTTGAGACCTAAACTGCCAAAGAGCACTACAGATGTATAAGAGCAATCTCCATCAAGAACACATTGGAGGGAAAGAGAAGGAGAAGGATGGGAAAGGGAGAAAAGATGGGATGGGGTAGGCATAGATATGCAATAATCCTTCTTAGAGGTATTAAAAAAGAAAGGAAGGGGATGGGTGAAGAAAAGAAAATATTTTTAAACTCGGGAAGACAGATCCTTTTTCAGCAATGGAAACTGAGTATTCAAAACTCCTTGCAATAAAAGAGCAAATTATTTCACCTTAGATATATGAAACTGCCTTTAAGTCATATTCTCATCTCACTCTACAACAATACAAAGGCAATTCCCTGAGTGTAGAGAGGGGAGCACACCACACAGTATGGCCACATAAGTGCTTGTGCACACAGCATGAGGACACTTTGGGAAGTATCCCTGCCCATGCCCTGCAGGATTTCACAGTGTGCAGTGAAACACCAACTGCTGGGCATTAGGCCTTCACAACACTACCGTGGGGGCACCTTTGGAGTTACAGCAGGAGCAACTTCTACAAGGCAGCAGAGCAAAATCATAGCATACGGAACTGTTTGGGCTGGAAGGGACCCAACTCCAACCCCTCTGCCAAAGGCAGGGACACCCTCCACTAGACCAGGTTGCCAATTTGCCAAAATTGCATACAGGTGACAGGTATGTCAGTCTACTGCTCCTGCAACTTGAAAATGAGAGATTAGAATTGGTGGGCTATGTACTATTTTCCAGCTGCAGCATAGCTCACTGCTATTATTAGCTTGTAACAAACATCTGTTCCAAGATGAAAGCACCTACAAATGCCTCAGTGTCTCCAAAATTGCAAGAGGTTAGTTTGTTAAACATTTAAACTAGGTAAAGAAGTACAGGCTTCATGCAAGACAGATCTGAGAATAGACTGATTATTCTATCTTAACATTGCTAGCTTCTTCTGGCTGCTGTGAATGGAAACTTCAAACCCAAGAACTTCTCAGATATAATTTCCTAGATAAAACATGTTATATGAAGGTCAGCTTCCTCAGAGGCTCCTACTTTTAGAAATAAAACTGACTTCAAAAGAAAGGAAGCATTTAAACAGTGTCATGGCAATATGGCTTATTCAATTATTAACTAGCTGATTTATTTTTAATTGCTCGTGTACCTCTTCAAACTCAGCCTAGGTCAGCCATGAAGGAGAGCAGCTACCAGACGTCTGGCAGCTGCAGAGCCTGCACAGGATGGACTCGGATCTCCCAGCCAACGGATGGGGGCTCAGATCAGAGAAAACATCACCACAGATGGCACAGCTGGGTGCCCGTGACTGGCCTCCCCGTCACTCACAGCAGAGTGGCTGAGGGCGAGTTTCTGAACCACTCTCTTACCCCTAAAGGTGGTCTCTCCAGGTCAGGGCTGAGGCACATTGGTGGGGCAATGAGGGGAAGTTTGCACTGCTGCTGCCCATGCTGTATCTGCTCTACAAATAAATAGAGGACTTTAGTCTCCAGGGCTGTCAGTTTGGCACCTTCCATGTGCACAAAAGACACTTTTGTTTGTTTGCTTTTATTTTCTTAGAAACAACCACCCAAAACGTTATATGCAAAGCTTAGTATGGCAAATCAAAATAAATCAAATTTATTGCATGAGAGCACCTAAAATCCCACAACTTCCACTTGCTCTCTCTTTCTTTTGTGTTTTCTACTTTTAATTGTGATAAGAATAAAAGTTATGGACCTCTTTCGGTGTTTCTTGATGACAACGGTTGCTGTTCCACCACAACTCCAATGCTGCCACCAAGCAAGCAAGAAGAAGGCCTATTGCTAAAATGCAGAAAACGCCTGCAAAACTGTGCAGCTTGAGTGCCTTGCCATCTGTCTGCGCATTGGTATGGCTATTCAGGTCACAACGTCCCATCCGTGGCCACCACTTCTGTTTAAGAACATCCAAATCTCCACTTTCTTGCAACTCTAGGATCCTGCAGAAATTGCAAAACACAAGTATTATTTGCAAAGATGCTTTTTTACAGTTTTTTTTTGTCTTTTCCTTATGCTCCACATCTCTTAAACCTACCATCCCATAATTCAAAACTCCACTCCCATCCACCCCCAGAGTGTTGTATTCTTCATGTGAAACTCCCTTATACCAAGATTTCTTTCTACTCACAGCAGCAGGTAAACTCCATTGGGTAACTTTAGGAAAAAAAGAGACTGTCAAAAATTCCACTGCAGTGCAAACAGCATTTCCAGGGGAAATCACCACATTCCAGTTAGTTATGCCTGGTCTGGCTACATTCAGCTGCAGCAGCTGGTCCCACTAGTGAAATGCTCAACCCACTCCACTGCTGCTCTCCTACAGTAATTCCAAAAATATATGAGGCTAAACATGCTACTGTTTGTGCACCACTTAGTACAAATCTGTTTAAGCAGCGAGCAACTCATTTATTTTAGTAAATGTAGTTTATTCAAAAGGATTTTACTTCAGTGCTGTTACTTAATGCCTGAATTACTGTGTTAACAGTTGCTAATTAATCATTGTTTTGTCTCTTGTGAAGTGTCCCGTCTCTGCATGAATGATTCATTTTGGATTTGGTTTGATAACTATTTTAGCTGTTTACTAACAATCTTTTCTCTTGAGGCAGCTTTGTCTCCAGTTATGCAGCTGGAGTTTTGCTCCTTTTTATAAAGGAAAAGCAAGATGAGGCAATCGTGCTTCAGATCCCTGCCTGGAGCAGAGCACACGCTCACCTTCTGCTAAGGGCACACCTGCCTGCACAGCTGTGTGTCTTCATTTCAGGGTACACATTCACATGGACAAGAGATACCCAGCTGGTAGCTCAGAGATCACTAAACAGCATAGTTTTATAGTCCTCTGGTCTTGTCAATCCCATGCAATTCCCTGCAATTCTTGTTGCCCTGCACCATCCTGAGTCTTCGACCTGTCCCTCCACCCTAAAGGATGAGGCAGGCCATTGCTGCTAGCTTCCTGCAGGGAGCAACACACTGCTTCAGAGCCTGCAGAATGTGACATGAGCTCAAGATCCCTCTTCAATCTCTCCTCTACCTCTCACTGAGCTCTGAAGACATCAGTCCTCTGCCAGAGGCAGAGCTGTCTGAAGATGTGAGGCCACACACCACCTCCAGTCCCCTCCTCCCAAACCAGATGCACAGGGAGCAGAAGGAGCAGCAGCTTTGTTGGAGCCTGAATTTACAACCTCTCTGCTGTCATGTATTCATTGTTCATTATTAATTAAATGCCAAAATTAATGTGAACAGTTGCTGGCTATAGACAGAAATCCTACAAAATGAGCTTTGTTTCAGTTTACCTCTGGGAGAAAAGATCTCTGTAGGGACTTCCATGCTGGAGTGCTATCCCATATCCTTTGCTGCTGATGCTGTTTCCAATGACTGTCACAGAGCATTCATCATCTGTTAGTGCAGCATATTCCACCACTGTCACATCCCACAGGAAAGCATAATTTCCTTTCTTTGCCTGTAAATACAGCATGAACACAACACAGTCTAAACTAAACTGCATTTCTAGGTAGGACAAAACCTAAGCCAGCAAACAAATCCAAATCTTGTCACTATTCCTTGGTGGTATTTCATTAGGTCACAGTTTATCTGCAGACCTTAAACTTCTTAATATATTTCTAACAGTTTTGTCTCCCAGCAGGACCTCACCTACTTCAAACCTTGCTAAAATATCTTTCTTTTTTAAGTATGCACATAGGATAGCACAGACATCTAGAAGTGTAGGTGAGGTTTATGTAACAGGTTATTAATTATAAATGAAAGCTATTGCTTTAGATGATGAATTTGATGCATGTTTTGTAGGAGACATGGAATGTGACTGGTTCCATACATTTAAGTGACAAGACTGGCATAGTATGAGCATTAAGTGATGAGCATCACAGGCAACAAGATTGTAATTTTTCAGCTTTGCTCATATAAACATGTAAATAAACAAATTTGCCCTGCAAATAAACACTGCTCTTCTGAGAGCTATGTTAGTCCTACAACAAAAGGCATGCACTGAGCTGGAAGAGTTCCCTCTTTTCTTCACAGGTAAGAAGATTCACAAGCATGTACTATTATTTCAGTTTTGGGATAAATATTGTTTTAATACACGTCTATGCAGATATCCTTAAATATCAGCTTTAATTGGGACTGAAACTAAGGCCAGCACAGAGTGTATATAATGAATGTAATTAACACAAGATGCAAGAAACATATCCGGATAGGGATTCAGTATAGTAAAATAAAATATCATTTTGTTGATTAAAGTAACCATTGGTTGCCTAACATATTTAAGTAGTATTTTAGTTCTTTATAGGAACTGATTCACAAAGCTCCCTTAGTAAATTGCTATAGCTCTGGCACAGAATTAGTTCATCCTTCCAATTATTTTCTAAGCTCCATTTTGAATTCACCTGCAAGTTTGTAAGACTCCATCAGTTATTTCATTACACTGGATTCCTCAGTTGAGCAAAAAAGGTAATTTACTTCATCATAGTTTGACATAAACCATACCTTTCTGAAGTCCCTTACAGTTGTTTACATGTGACAATAAATCATAGGTGTCTTCTAGGAGGCAGAATTCAGGGAAACAAAGAGTAAAATTATGTTGCCTAGACTTTCTGTAAGGTACTTGCTGCAATCCACCTCTTTTCTCTGATTCCCTTTTATCTATATCAAGGCAATTAAAGATCCAAAAATTCCTTTGCTTCTGGGTTAAAACAGAGTAGAAATGTTATATTCTTTGTCTTTGGTAAGACGTGAAAGAGTCTGTGCACTGGACCCTTGGAAAATATTCTTTTTATTATTCAGCCACAATGTGTTCCATGGTAAAAAATAATACATAGGATTTTGCTACCTATTAGAGGAAACTGTCAGCATTAAAAATATGTCCTCAGGGGATCAAAAGCAGCAGCACTTGTTACTGTACACAGAATTTATTCAAAATCCATTATATTAGAGAACAAAAGTCCTGCCTGATGGATATACAGAAATCGGACACCCCAGAAAGATCTGACCTAATTCAATATAGTAAAATGTGTGTTTTACATTTCTCTGGGTATTTTTGAGTTGGTTGGTTGAATTTTTGTCTTCTTTTTTTTAATGTTGTTTTGTTTCCCTTGGGTTTGTTGTTGTTGTTGTTTTGTTTTTGTTGTTTGGGATTTTGGGGTTGGGGGATTTTTTGTTTTTTGGGGTTCTTTTGCTGGTTTGCTCAGTTTAAAGAGATGTATTTATTTTCTCTTCTTTCAGAACGGGTCTGTAGCCATAATATTATGAAAAATCCTTTGCTGGGATTTTTCCTCTTCTGAGAAGCTGAGGAGTCTCAGGAGAGAAATGTAAACAATTCCTATCTGCTGCTGTGGAATGCAACAGGTGCAGCTGGGATTGGTCCATGTGGATTGTTTTCCATTGATGACCAATCAGAGCCACCTGTGCCAAGGCTGTGAACAGTCACAGGATTTTGTTGTGCTATTCTATTCTTGTTGAGCCTTCTGATCTCTCTGTTCTTTAGTATAGTCTTAATGTAGCATTTTAATATAATATTTAACATAATAAATCAGCCTTCTGAAACAGAGTCAAGCCTCGTGTCTCCAAACATGGAGAGTCCTCAACACTGGTCATCAAATCATCTTTTTACATTTAAAATGTAGAAAAGAACACTAATAACACAATATATTCTTTATCTATCTCTTAGTAATACTTGAGAAATACAATGTTCCTCAAATATTTGATTTCTATTACAGCACACTGGCTAAAGAAAAAAACCCCACATTATTGAGTGTACTTTTCAATCCTCAGTTTTCTGTATGTTAGCTTATATACAAGGGCTTTGTACACCGACTTTCAATGCTGAACAGCAGATCTTTTGTAAAGGTCTACTTCTCTTGTGTTTGCCGTGCTGCTATCCTAAATCACATCCTGCGACTGCAAATGGTCAATAAACCAAGTCTGCCAGATCTCTTCACATCTATTTTACATATTTCTAATGACATAAATCAGCCTATCCAATGTCATCACATCTATAGAGCATTATTTCTCTGACAGCATGATCATTTTAGCACAATCAGGAATCTGACTTTTAAACTCTTGGTTGTGTATGCGTCTCAACTCCCAGAAATTCTGGGTGCAAGGCTGTGTCTCCTCCCTCTCTGATTGCCAAAACCAGAATCTCCAAAGATCCCTTTTTCCTCAGGGAAGACTTAGTTCTTTCCAAACTTCTTCTACTTGTGAAATTTTCTTCCCTGAAGAGTGAAGACCTCATACTATTAGTGTGTTCATTATGTGGAAAGTTTTCTTACAACAAAATGTTTAGTTGCTGCCTAAATTCGGCATCCTTCACTTCCCCGTTAATATCTGTTATGACAGCTAAGCAGTATCATTTGTTCAATTTAAGGAAAAGCTGTCAAACTTTGAAAAACATATGTACAAGATACAAAAGTGCACACATACATGTGTGTTTGAAGTAAGCTGACTTTTTAGATACCTTCACTAGGCAAGAAGTAAAAGCCAAAAAAAATCAAGTTGACATTAATTTTCAATGAGAAACAGACCTCAAATTTTAAATGTAGTTTAAACTTTTTTCTTTTTTTTTTAAATGAAAGACCCAATGTCTTCGTCGAGTCTTTAAGGGGCATGCCTGTCCCTTAACTTCCATGAATGTAGGAAGACTGGTAAAAGGGCCTCTGCAAATGCCAGCTGAGAATAGGTGAGATAGCTTGAATACAAAAAAAAAGACTGAAATAAACACAGAATAATGAGCTCAAATTTATACTTCAGTCTTTTCACTGTACTTCATATTTTGCTCCTTTGCTATGGCCTAACTGTAACTCTCAGTATACAGGCATGCTGCACAACAAAGTAAAAATCACTTGGTTAAACTTTCAGAAACCTCTTTATCAGAAAATCTGCCAAAGCAGCATTCATTTTTTTCACCCAGGCAGAACAACTGCTTTGGCTTACACAAAGGACAGCACATTTATCTTTGTTTTAAGAGATTTTAGAAAACAGATTTAAGAAAAAGAAACCCCTGGGCAAAACTTATATTAAAAATATATATTTATTCTTCACAATCCTAAAAAATTAAAAGGCCAAAGAAGATGGCTCCTAGACAAGACAAGGGCCACAAAGTAAATAATACTTCAGGAATGCAGTGAACAACTCCATAATGTCACTCTTCAGTGTGGATGGAGATAGAGGAATATTGTTCAAAATATTGTCTTGGCTTACTAATGATTAAACAATGTTGTTTCAAAGAAAGTGTGCTAAGAAATATAACAATATAATAAAAGATTGATTCCAGACTAATCATTGATATATCTGTGATTTATCTGAAACTTATGAAGAAGCTATCATACTTAAGACAGAACTGCCAGAATAATGCAAAATTCATCATTAATTTACTGCCACAACAGAGTGTCAGTGTAGCTGATCCCATTACATGGCTGATACCACAGAAATATCAAAAAGTGACCTTTACATTGGCATTAGTGGAGTAGCTCAAAAAGACGGCTTGATAACATTTATTATCTATAAAAAAGTGCTTTAAGAGAAGCATCTTAGTTCTAATAAAAATAAAAAATATGCCATTTGATCCTGTTGAAATGTTTCAAGTATTAAAATAATTAAGGAACCACTACAGGATGCAATAGATTTAGGTTTAAGGAACCATTTGCTTTTGCTTCAAAGGCTGCTGGGTCAAGAAATGGAGAAATTTATGAAGCTCTATGAGAGCAATCACAATTCACAATATAACATTCATTGTGAAAAAAGTAGTTTTTAAAAAATCATACTAAATGAACTTTTAAGCTACTTCTACTCTCAAAATTAGAATGAAGAGAGAAGAAAATCACTGATTTAATGCTCAGTGATCATTAAGGAAGCAAAAAAGAGAAGGAAAAAATTCTTACTGTGCTATTGCTTAAATCAATGATGCATTCTCATTTTGTGCTCTACTTGGTTTTGATCGCTTTTCATCAAAAGTGATACACAGGAAGAAAGGAAATAATTCAGAGAACTTTTGGCACTAAATTAATTGGACAGGGGAACAAATAATCTCAACCAAAGCAGGGCATTATAGAATGCAATAATGAGTTTAATTCTCCTATGTGTAAATATAGCAGATGCAGGATCACATGGAGATCATTTTACTTCATTCTTTCACAGCAAAAATGGGTGCTCCCAAAGGAAATAATAACCACAGTGTGTTGGTGCAATCAATAATTACCCTGATTGCCAGTGGATGCAAAGCAAACAGTTCACTGAGATCATGGCTGTAAAAACATTCCTGTGACAGCATTAGTCAAGCCTCATCTGTGATAGTCCCAGACAGCTCAAAGTGGCAAAACAGCACTTTGTATGGACTGGTGGTTTCTGTGGTTTCTGCTCCTGTGCTGTGCAGAGGTACCTCTAGAGGGAGGAGGCTTTCCATCTTCAATGACTACTTTCAACTACCTTGGGAATACAGCAAAAACAACCTGCTCCCCACCACCCTCGGCTCTCAGGAGTCCTCCTGTCACTTGTGTGACATTGAAGTGCATTCCTGCCTTTTCTTGGCTCTCCCAGTGCTGCAAAAGCTGTGCCTTGCCCATGGGAGATGGCCACTGTGGCTGCAGGGACTCTGCTGTGTCTGAAGGGACACCTCTGCCATGGCAACCATGCGCCATGAAAGCTCACATGACTTTCCTCCACTGCCATCCCTTTGTTTTCAGACAGTCAATGGGAGTAGGAAAATCTCTATGAAATGGAGAAAGATAAATGGGATAGGGACAAACACCTGAAATACCTGTCTGTGGCACAAATAACCAGCACTCTCTGTTTTGCACTGAAGAGCATTGCTTTGTAACTGCAGCTGAACTGTGATACTGTCTGAAGAAAATGGAAAGGAGAAGGAGGGAAGAAAGAACAGTAGTGATTTTTTTCTTTTTTTGCATTGTGTCAGGCAAGTCCTCATTCAGAAAAATGTTTTATGAATCTTTTTATTCTAAAGAGATTTAGAGTTCCCATTTCCTACGAAACACATTTGTAAGGCACATTTACATCTCTTTCATGCAGCAGTATGTATTTATGGATGGAAACTCATTTCCTTGGCTGACATCAATTCTCCTTTAAAAAAACCCCAGAATTTCTAGCCATAATACTTGACATAGATAACTTGTCTGTTTATTCAGAGAGTTCAATGAGCTAGGAAGAGTGACACTTAAACTATAAACACAATAGTTTAGTTGACAATGTTATTAAATATTAAAGCCAATTTATGTTGGTGTCTAATCAAATAGCAGCCTTGGTCATCTTTGGGGACTGAAGTAAAATTTAGCTGTTGTTGACATTAATTGAACGAGCTGATCTAGTTATATAAAAATCACCCTACAACACTGAAATCAAACTTAGTATGAAAAGTTATTATCACATAGATAGGATGGAGCTGCCAGCTCCATACAGACAATATAATTGGTATTCTCAACTGCCTGCCAATCTACGGTTACATTTCTGGCTTAGCAAATGCAGCTATCATAAATGGCAGCATGCACTAGGCTTACAGAATAAGAGTATTTACAATTTCATGGATAAAGAGCATCCACTTCCATAAAATGTAAAAAAAAAAAAAAAAAAGAAAAGTAAAATACTGGATATTTTTCTAAGTGAAATTGTTTTATTATTGGCTTAAATGCTAGGATACATAGAAAAGTATTTAATGTCTCTATTTCTCCTCTAAATGCTATCAAAACATACCAAAAGAGGCCTCATTTTCATAAAATGCTGAGCAGATTAAGGAAAAAAAAAAGCCAACAACCACTGCAGACTTTGCTATTGCCAGAGCTCTACCTTGTACCCAAGGAAGAGGGGATTTGGAGCTGAGGGCAGAGGGCTTTGGGGAAGTTCATTTGAGGGACAGCTGAGGGCAGGGTGAACCCAAATTGACTGAATACTTGTATGCTAAGACAATGAAGTGTCTGCATGAAGATTTTGTCCAAAAGTCAAGCAAAGAATTGGGAATCTTTTGCTAAAGGAGTTTGAATTTGGAAACAGGATGGCTTGCATTACTTGTGTTCACCCTCTTCATGGCACTGTGAAAACAGTAGAAATTGGATACTGTCCCTCTGACTGTTCAGAAAAGGTTTGAAAATATTAAAAAAATAAGAAGGAAATGCAAGCCCAAATCATTTTAACATGTCCCACGTACAAAAGCACAAAGAACTAGTAAATCTGTGTTTCACTGACAAGAGTATCTCTGATCAAACATTCACTATGGTAATAAAAACTCTTAACTTGTTTTAGGAAAAAATCAATAGACAGATGAAGAGGACACTTTCCATTAAAGGAGCAGCACACCAAGGCTCTCAGCATGCCTGCATCCCTTCTGTGTAATGTACTGGACATGTGTTTGATGTGAGGTGCTGCCTGGTTTTGTTGAGATTCAAGATGGGGAGCAGAGGGGAGAGGTAGGCTATGAAAGAGAGAGAGAATGGGCATTTGCAATGGCCAATACTCATTATCACAGGACTTAGAACAAACATGCAGCATCCTAAGCTGTTATATATTACTCCTTGAATACCACATTAATTCTCTGTTCCACAAAAATCCATGTAGTTTTATCTCAGAGAAATAACATTTTGGTAAAACACAGTGTCATGTGAATGCATTTTTCAAAGTCTGGAATAAACAAAGAAAAGTCTTGCATGAAATTTCTGTTTTAAGAGAAACAAGTATGTGTTCTGTGAATCCCTTAATTCTGACTCATGTTTCCAATCATGAACTCAGAAAAGAAAACAAACTCAAATGAGCAAAGGACAGGAGTCAGTACTGCATAATGTAAAGAATTACATCCAAAAAGGCATTATGATAGCTCCCATGAAACTGAGAAACCTTATTACCAAATCCAAAGGACTTACATACTGAAGACTTAGGCAGAGTTAAAGTACTTAAATTCAGAACAATGACACCAAAATTTGATTCTTATCTGCCATCAAGGTACTAAAAGGAACTTTATATAGGAATTCAGGGGGGTTTTAAATGACTGTAATTTCTTTCCTGTGACTTATCATTAACTGCATAGAAACAACATTGATACAGAAATTAAATGAAAACCCTTGTGATCCAGTCTTACCTTCCTGATGCCTTCAGAAGGGTTTGATACACAATTATCTGCCCCATTATTCTTACTGATAGTTCTCCACAGTTCAGCAAATGTGTTATCCTGCTCCAAAGGGTTGGTCCCTTTTGCTTTAAAGTATTCATACACTGCCGAGTCCCTGACTGTACCATAAGATATATCCATTTGTTTGGACAGATCCTGAAATGTTCTGAAATTCAAGCAATATTGAGAAATTAGTATTATGTAGCACATTAGCACGATTTCATTAATTAAATGGTTTCTTTCAATGTCTGTCACTCATTATAAAGCACCCTCACCAAATAACATTTCCATATTTCATTCCTCATTGTAAAGGAAAGCCAAGTAATTATTTAATTGTACTGAGCTCATATGATTTTAACTACACCCAAGCTCTTTTTCACCACAGAGAAGATTTTTTTTTTGAGAGATAACATGCCACCGACATTGCACAAGAATATAATGTGATAAAGACTTACCTGAACACAGGAAAAACTCAGATTATAAGTATAAACTTCCAGCCCCATCAACTTCACAGACATACCTCGCAGAATTCAGTGGAATTAGTTTGCAGTTATTACAATGCTCCATCTGACTCCAAATCAATATGACTGTTTTAAACAAACAAATAAAATCTTGCTTCCAATTTCCACCAAGTCTCTCTTGCTCTCTCTTTTCACAGCCTCTGGTAAAACAGGCATTTTTCATTCACACAGAGCCCTAACTTTCATTTACTCATCATATACAACTCTGGAAGTGTAAATGGGCCTCACCCCGAGTGGCTGTGAATGCACAATTTATTTTCAAATTGTACAGAATGTAATTCACTCCTGTTTTACAGCCTTCTCTGCACTGAAAGGTGTAAATCACTGCCTGCATCAATGAAAACCAGCCAAAGCTTCAAAACATTTAAGGTGGCATCACTGCCATCAGAAGCAGCACCCTGGCTAGGTTTTTTCCCTCTCTTAGAGGTTCATTCCCAGTCCTCTGCCTTCTTCCTCTGCCCTCAGGTATCATCTAAGTGCTGTGCCATTATCTGAGCATATAAACACATTCGACCACTGATGACCACACGACCACTGATGACCACACATAGCAGCAGGGACCAAACTGAATCTCATAAGTAATGGTTTGTTTTCTTTAAAATGCTTTATAAATGTGTGGCTTCACATGCTAACAATATGCTTCTGATATAACCAACTAACATTGCTTGACATCAGTTAAACTAATGCAATCCTCCCTGCCTCACCTCTTTTTCCCAAAAACAATCTTTCAGAACCAAAAACTTCCTGATCAACACATCTGAGAGGCCACCTCCCCCAAACCTCCAGCTCCTGGAGACACAAAAGCAGAACACTTTGGCTTGCAGCTTGTGCAGATTTCTTCACAATGCTCCTGAGGAGCCTTCCCCCTTGGCCCATGAGCCAAAGCTGTTTTCCACAGCTGAAGACTTGTCATAGACAATATTTTTCTGCCACCCTTTTCTCTGTTTCACTGAGGAGATGCCACTGCTGACACTTCACATGCCTTTAAGATTCCCTGCTACACTATTTAAAGCAAAGCAATCTGGGCATATACACAATGCCCCATAAAAATACATAGAGAGCTCTTCCCTCTTCTTCCCCACATCACCCCCAGGCCTCCCAGGTTCAGGTGCAGAAGGTGCTCTTCTCTGGGACTCCTGTGGGAGCCCTGTCCCCAGGCTGCAGCTCCAAGGGCTGCCTCTCAGCACAGCCCCTGGCCCAAACGCTTCGAACTCACAAGCTGCTTCAAACAGTTTAAGTGGTTTAAGTTCTTATATTGTGTTAAGGACTTTCTATCATTTTAAGCTGTTAAGCAGCTTTAAGTAAGACTGTGTGAACAGCTTCTCTCCATGTACATTGCACACTTGTGGATTTGGGCTAACTCTAGGAGTTCCATCAAACCCCAAATCTCCTGTTATTTCTCTAGCTCTATATGGCCATTGATAAAGTACAAAATTTCCAACAACACCCTGGAGGTTGTTGGAAATTCAAGAGGCTAATGAAAAATAGGAGAATTTGTTCAGATTTTGTTCCTTTCTTTAACAATCCTGAAAGTTCTGTTCTGCTCCCCTAAATATTTCCTGTACATTCTATGGAACCGGTTTTCCTCCAGTCTTGATCTACATGATTACATGCTGCATTTAGTTCTGTCTTTATTTTTTAAAGTAAGTTTCATCATATCCCAGGGAATTGCTTAAGCCCCAGGAATTGATGATTTGGCTGTTAAAAGACACATTTCTGCCTATAGGGCAAAGAAAGGTACTCAATATACACAGGAGGGTCTTCTGTGGCAACCCTTTCCCACCAGGTTTAGTGTAGAGATTTTGACGTGTGTAGGAAAACATGTTTGGTAGAAGCACAGTAACAGAAATATGTTTAACTAATATACTTTAACACAGGTGTCAGCTGGTAACAACTTTACAAATGCCTACTCCTGATACCACTATTCTGTCTGAAAGTTTGAACATGAGGGTTTGGATAGTTAAAAAAATAATTAAACTTGCAATTTTAATATTATCAATATTTTCTGTTTTCCTTTATTGCCATGGAACCTTTTACTCAGAAATGTGCATTTTGTTTTAGCTAAATTGCACTTTATTGACGATCAGTATTTTTATTTTAGCTAAATTACATTTTATTGACAATCAGTACTGCACAAAAGCACAGAACATGTTGCTTTATGAGCAGCACAGTTTGTTCAATTCTCTAAGCATCACAGGGCAGAGAGAGCAAATCTGGGGTTTAAATCAAATGCTTGCAATAAACAGACAAGCATACAGGCAGGGAGGGAAGCACAGTGTTGGCCTGGGTGTGGGAGTAAGGTAACCCCTTTAGCTGGCAGTATTTCCTTGGAAGAGAAAATGTGGAGTATTGTCTGTCCTAAGGATTACTTGCAGTGCAATGTTTGATGTTTTGGACCACTTAGCCAAAAAATCTATCTCAGAAATTATCCCCACAGGGAGTGGTCTCAGTCACAGTTCTTACTCTGATAAAAATATCTTTGCTGTATTTCTGCACTGAAAGTGGAGGTGATGCTCAGCACATCCATGGCTAGAGAAGTGGTCAAAAGATTTGGGTGCAGTGGCCATGGGCACATACACAAACGATAGTGGATGGAGATGAATTATCTCCTACTTTTTACAGGGGGAAGTAAGATAATCACAAGGGTAGGTTTGAAACACTGTTGTTTTAAATCTCTCAAATTTGCCTCTGCCAGACAAAATCACTCACTGCTACTTTTCAGATACTGGCTGTATCTTACAGTTGTGTCATTCACTAAAGGCAGCTGCTGTCATTGTTCTTAACCTTTATTTGTGCAACCAGCTATCAGCTGGTCCTATCTCCTTTAGCCACACAAATTCTTGTCTCACTTTTCTATGGCAAAGATTTCACGCATTTAATATACAAAATTATTTGCAACAAAAATGTGCAGCATAACAAGATGCCCCATTAACCTTACCACCTCAGTTATTGGATCTCACAAGCCAGTAAAGGTTCTTTATAAGTGTGATTAAAGATAAAGTCAGTAAAGCAGAAAAAGCCAATGTCCCTCACTTACTGTTACAGGAGCACAACTTCAATTTGTAGATAAATACATCCACCATGTGATTGCTATAATTGACAAGTACATGTAAACCAATTGATTTAAGTAAATGTATCTGCAGTCAATCTGAAGAAAAATGTTGTCTTTTAAATCTGTGTTACCAGCCAAAATATTTAATGCCCTTATTTATGCCTGCTAGATGAATACAACAACTGATACATATTCCCAGTGGAATTACAATTACTCCACGCAGAGTCAGCTGAAGACTGGACTCTCTGCTCGGTTCATGTGTTAGAAACTTACTGGCATAAAACAAATGCTGCAGAAGACACTGGCAACAGCAGTATTAGCATTTATGATTAGACCATTAGAACTAATTGCCAGAATAAAAATACTGAATAAGATACACTTTTTGGAGATGTTTTCTTGTAAAAGCCTCATGGAGCTGTAGATACACAGACTAAAAATATGCTGCCAGAATGGGTTTATTTCACTCTGTTGCTGCTATATGCCTAAGACTTCTGGATGAATAATAAGTGACAGACTAAACTTGACACCAGTGCTTTGAGGTAACTGCTGATCAATTAACTGAGCTGGAGGCACCTGGATCATTAGAGGTGATCAAAGTATTTTTCAAAAGAAAAACATGTTGCTGTCATTAAAAAAAAAAAAAAAAAATTGTTTTTTTTTGTAGTGACCCTGAGATTTTTGCTCAATGCAGCATAATATTCTAGGTGATGGCTGCCATAAAGATAAAGTGCACCAGAGATGATGAGACTTTTTAAGCTGCTCTGCCTAAATGAAGTCTTAAAAATGCATACATAAAATGTATAGTACAAGTCCTAAATTTCGATCTTTAAATGCCTTGAGGCTAATTTATTTTCTTTTAAACTTTTTTCTCTAAAAGTTAAGAATCCATTACATCTGCAGAATTAAATACAAGTGCAGCTCCTAACAAGAACTGTTTTCTCCACGCAATTATGTGAGAGGGAAATATGTGTTTTATGCACTGGGAAAACTGTAATCCCAGTAAACTTCAAAGTAAAAACAGATGTATCTGAACTGATTTGACAAGCTTATACCACCATTGTAAGCATAAGAAACACCTATGAGCTGAAACCTAGAACATAAAATCCTATCTGAAAAGAGATTTATGGGATAAAGCTATACCCAGTGGAAAGCAATGAGTTGAAAGAGAATTCTGCCTACTGTGAACTGCAGAAAAATACAGAATTTTGACCTAAAATTGCTGAGAACTCCTCCCTCCAAGGCAGAATTTTCAGTGACAATGAGGACAAATAAGAAAATAGTGTTTGTTGTTGATCACATGAATCTACCCACAAAGAGATGAACTTGGAAGCCAAGCAAGCATTGCCAGATCAGATTGTCATTTGTAGATGTCACCAAGAGAAAAGAGTCTGCAAAGCTGGATCAAGGTTGAAGAGGTACTGTGGTGGTACAGACAATGTACCACCAATGAGCAGATCCTACTATTCAGAACCTCAGTCCTGATCTGAGTCCTGATTAATTTTTATATCTATTTATGAATCTGCAAGACAAAGGATTTGAGCCTCAGTCCATTGTTCACAAATGAACAATCTTTGGAACTCCTGTTTTAAGTAA